TGGTATCTGAATGGAACTCTGAGCAGAAGGCCAGGGGTTAATGGCTGAGCCTGGCACAGAACACAGAGAGGCCTCCCCACATTCCTGGCACAGATCCAGCCCACCAGGGGCAGGCTGGATTCTCAGCTACCAATTCCACTGGGGAAGAACCAGGCCAGGCCGCTTACAGGAGGTGATGTGTGTGCTGTAAGCTTAGCCGGGTGCTGGGTGCTAGAGGCGGTTCACTTCAAACCACCCCCAGGGCACCCCCAGGGCCGTCCTGTGTCTGTCGGCTCCTCGTCCCCCCCCCCCACCCTCCGGCCATGCCCACAGTGCCCACCCCGTGCCCCATCCCCCGGGCAGAAAGCAGCTCAGATAAAAGAGCGAGCCCTGGAGGCTCTGCATGACTGTGGATCCTGCACTGCGGGCAGGCAGGCTGCTGGCCGCGCTCAGAGGAATGGAATGGCAAGTATCCTTCCCCTGATTTAAAATTTAAACACAGCTGTGTTCACGTTCCCCGGGTGAGGGTGTGTTTTAATTCCAGTGAAACGGCTCGGAGGAGGAGGGGGCTGTGGCTCCCGGGGTTTGAAACGAGGAGAGAGAAACCTGTGGACAGCCAGGGGCCGTGTCTGCAGCTCTGAGTCTCCAGCGCCTGGTCTGGGGGTCAGGGCAGTGGGGGAGGGAGAGGCGGGCGGTGCCTGGTCTGGGGGTCAGGGCAGTGGGGGAGGGAGAGGCAGGCGGCGCCTGGTCTGGGGGTCAGGGCGTGGGGGGGAGGCACGAGGGCTGGGAGGATGGGGGCAGTGCTGTCTGTTATTGCTGCTCCTCCCTCCCACCCTGGCTTGTCTGCTCCGGTTCCCCCAGAAGAGCTGCAGTGACAGGAGACCCACCAGCCCCGGGAGCCCCGGCCGGCCCAGGGGAACCGGCTCCCGGTTTCCCATCGGCGCCCGGACTCGGAACCGCCAGGCGGGCGGCGGAGCCGGTGCTGAGTCACAGCCCTGGTGGTGCTCCCCGCGGGAGGGTGAGCGCTGACCTTGCATCCGGGAGGAGACGTCCGTGCTTCTGTGTGCTCTCACGGTGGCCAGCGTGACAGCCCTTCGGGGGCCGGGTCCCGAGTGCCAGGACCCGTGACCGCTGACCGCCTCCCTGGCGGGCAGAGCCCGGGCCCGGCCGGGAGAGGGGAGCGCGGACCGAGCAGCCCCACCTGCTCCCACGTGTTTAATGCTCTGAACCTTCAGCGTCTCTTAACACGCATGCCTCCTGCCCTGGCTGCGTGGCCGGGAGGTAGGCCGCACGCGTGTTCGGAGGAAACCAGGGCGGCAGGCGTGTTCGTTCCCGGCCAGCCCACCGCTCACCGTGGACCCATGCACCCTGCCAATCAGACGCGCCCTGGGAGCCTCCTGCTCCACCACCTGCAGGGGCCGCCGGGAAGGCTGGGGTCGGGGGGCAGGACCAGGGCATCCTCTGAGGCTGGGTACACGGAGGGAAGGGGAGGACTAGCCGGTGAGGGTCAGCAGCCGCAAACACCCTACTTCCCAGGGGGCACGCACGCGTCCCTGCGTCTGGACCCTGGTCAGGTGAAAGGCCTTACCGGCTACTCAGAGGGCCTGGGGGTCCCTGCCCGAGAGGCTGGGGGTTGGGGATCCTGACTCTGCTCCCTCCTCCTTGGGGACACACTGAGGTGCCCCCCGCGGGCAGGAAGCCGGGAAGGGGGGCACTGGCTGCCGCAGCCTCAGCGCTTGGAGGTCTGGAGCCGAGCGCCCCGCACGCTCAGCTAATGATCACTGTTAACTCGGAACAGATCCCGGCTGGGCTGCCAGCTGGCTCTCCCGCAGGGAGGCTGGGAAACAAGCCCGAGGCGGCCCTGCGGGGGGCGGGGTGGGGACCGAGGAGGAAGGAGGGACAGGCCAGGGGCAGGGCGTGGGGAGAGGAGGCCCGGGCTGGCAGGAGGTGCCGGCCCTCCCATCGCGGATGCAGCTATGCAGCTGCAGAGCCAAGAAGGCGAGGCTCCCACCGTTCACGGGCACCCCCGCCCGCCCCGCCCCGGAGCGGCTCCGGGGGGGGGGGCCGGGAAAGACGGGGGCTGGGGCACCTGAACCCAGAATGGCAATCCATTGAATACAGACACTCCTCTATTTCTAACGTCCTCGAGGCTGCGTTTGAACGTCGTCATCGTATTTGGAATCAGGACTTAGTGAGCTGGTAGGCAAATCTGTGCAGATGACGTGCTCCTTCATTTCTTTTAAGTTGAGCACCCTGACTTTTTTTTTTAAAGGGTAACTACCAGCTTTCCTTAGTCAGGGGCCAAGGACAAAGGACAGCCACATGCCTCTCCCCGAGGCCCTGCCTCTCCCCCAGGTGCCCGGCTCGTGCCCGGGTGGGGGACGTGGGAGGTGGGGGCAGAGCCGTAGGGAGGAGGCACAGGGGCCGGCAGCCGCGGAGCTCCCTGCAGGAGGCTGGGCGCCTGGCACCGAGGGCTGAGGGCTGTCCGGCTGCTGCCTAGGATGTGAGGGCAGGTGGTGGAGGAGGGAGAAAGGCAGAGGAGGTGGGGAGGGGAGAATAGGAGAGGGGTGGGGAGGGAGGGAGGTCCCCCACAAGCTGGCCAGCAGGGAACAAAGGCTCCTCCTGGCGACCTGCTCCCAGCACTGCAGTCCCACCCGCCCCACAGGCCACCTGCGCCTCCTCTGCCCCGGCCCTGCCCTCCTGGCCTCCCGGGCGGGCGGAGAGGCGACAGCTGCGGGCCCTTCTCCGCGCAGAATGTAAACGACGCCCCCCTTCCTCCCGGGCTGGGAATAGACATCAGCTGGCGCGGCCCCCGCAAACTGCCGGCTGGCAGCCGCCTGCCCCCCGCCCCCCGCCCCCGCCCGGAGCCACCTGGGAGGAGGGACGCCTCAGCAGGCGCCGCTCTCCTTTGGGGGGGGCTTTTCCTTTGGGGGGGCTCTCAGACGAAGCGGGAACCGCACGGCCCTCCCCGCTGCAGCCTGGGACTGACTCCGGCGCTGGCTGTGTGGGAGGAGAGGCCGTGGGGAGCCTGATCGAGGTGACCCCGCCTGCTCAGGTCCGCAGAGCTCCCGGGAGGGGCCCAGCGACCAGGAGGCGCCCGGGGAGCCCCCTCGGGGATGCCTCTGCCCGTGTGGTCCCATCCTGTACTGCGGAGTCACCCCACGTCCCTGCTTCTGAGCTGCCCAGAGAGGCGGGACCCCCAATGCTGCCACCTAGGAACACCTCCCTTGGTCCCGGGACCTGGAGCCCCAGCTCCCGTCCCCCAGGCCTCCTGGGGCCCCACAAGCAGACACCAGCTCTCCTGGGCCAGCCCCCTGCGCTCCAAGCCGTGATCTAGCAGTGTTTCCCAAAGTGTGGTACGCGTACCCCCAGGGGCACGGGAAGAGTTTGGTGGGGGTACGCATTGCACCGGAGTTTGGTGGGGATAGGCACTGCACCGTGCTTAGCTGCGCCTAATTCTACGTTCTCATGAGTACGAGGGGTACTCAGCGTTACGAAAATTATAGAAGGGATACACATATGTCAAAAGTTTGGGAAACAGTGATCTAGGGGGATCCCCTCTCCTAACGGGGCCAGATGGCAGTTCGCTGGCCTGGCGCCTGCAGAGCTGCTTTCCACGCGGAACAAGGGGGCTCTGCAGGGACGAGGGCCTGCCCTCACGTGCCAGCTGGCACCCGCTCAGCCCTGATCCCCTGCTGAGCCAGAGGGCTGGCAGGAGACAACGTGGGCGATGAGGAGGAGGGGCCTCTCCAAGGTCACAGGAGCCCCGCCCCGCACCCCGGGCTCCGCCTCGTTCTAAGAGCTTCCGGACAGCTGCCCAGCGCTGGGTGCTAAGGTGCGAAGCTGAGCCCGAGGAGGGCGAAACGTGGGGTGCCCAGGGCGACGTGGCCACCAAGACTGGACATCCGGGGAGGAGCACAGCCCTGTCCTCAGCCCTCGAGCCCGAGGAGACCCCGCGGCCCAGCAGGAGCCCGAGGCTGGGGTACAGCAGCGCCTGTCCATTCTCCCACGGCTTTGTGCGATTTGTTTTTATTTCTGGTCATCTTCGCCCGAGGACAGCTTCCCACTGGTTTTTAGAGGAAGAGGAAGGGAGGGGGAGAGACACACAGAGAGAAACGTCGATGTGAGAGAGACACATGGGCTGGTTGCTGCCCGCACGTGCCCCACCCAGGGCTGGGGGATCAAGCCTGCAACTGAGGTATGTGACCCTGACTGGAATCGAACCCCAGACCCTTCAGTCCACAGGCAGGTGCTCTATCCATTGAGCCACACCGGCCAGGGCTCTCCTGTGGCTTTAAAGTGACGTTAGTGTCTTTGCTGCTGTGTCGGAGTTCCAGAGATCCCCACCCAGGCCCCTTCCCTCCACAGCGCGGGACCCCCTGTGCCCCGGTCTGGGGCCCAATCGGCAGAGATTCCCGCCAGGCCCCGGGGGCAGGTCCTCCGGGGTGGAAAGGGGATCACGGAGGTAAGAATGGCTTCCTGAGTCTCCTAAGGGGTCCAGCCCCGGTCCAGCGCCGGAGGGGGTACGGTGCGGTCAGCCTCACCGACACGGGATGTCAGAGGCCACTCGGAAACACTCCTCACACAGACACGGACGCCAGCTCCTGAGACACGGGACTTGCATAAGGTCACACAGCAGAGCCTACGAGGACCTCAGCCCACAGACAAGCCCGTGGGCTCTGTCCGCCACACCAGGAGCTTCCTCAGGAGCGACTCCACCGGCCACAGCTGCCTTTCCTACCGGCAGGAACCCAACCCTCCGGCAGGCACGCCCCCGCCACTGATCACCACCATCACCATCAGCACCAGCACCCAGCCCTCCTGGCTCCCATCCGGCGTGGAGGCTCAGGACCCAGCGCCCCATCACCTGTTACTTGCACCCAGGACGTCTCCCCATTTCGATCCGCCAAGTCCCCCGCCAGCCCAGCCAGAGGTTATAAAAACCCTACCCTTCAGGGCCACCAGACAGACCCCTGAAGCTCAAGGCCAGGGTGCCGGCCGAAATCAGAGTGCGGAGGGAGTCACATCTCCGTCTTCTTCCTGGGCAGGTAGGAGCTGGAGATCTGGTGCATGATCACCAGGGCGGGGTAGAGGGGCAGTGCCAGGCACAGGTACCAGGCCGCGCCTTTGATCTGGGCCTGGAACCACACCGAGTACATGCCCAGGAGCACCGTCGCCGTGGCCATCAGGTAGACCACCAGCCCGCCCGTCAGGTGGTAGAGCTTGAGGCGGGCCACCCTGGAGACCCGGGCGGCCCGGGGGAAGAGCAGGCAGAGCCCGCACAGCGCCTGGCCCCCCGTGGCCAGCAGCGTCAGGGCCCCCGCCCAGCTGTGCCAGGACGCCAGGTGGGGCAGCTCGCTGCGGGTCCGGCTGGCCGCGATGAAGCCCAGGCCCAGGGCCGCGCAGAGGAGGGCCAGGGCCTGGCCCGCCCAGTGCAGTCCGATCCGGGCCTTCCGGGAACAGCAGGAGAACAGGGAGTGGTCGGGCGAGAAGAGGAGGATGGCCTCGGCCATGCAGATGCAGAACTGCGAACGAGAGAGGGCCGGTGAGCCCGGAGGCCGGCGGGGGCGTCTGAGGACAGGGAGGTGCTCTCTCCTACGTCCAAACCGGGACACGGGTGGGGGCTGAAGAACTCCTGCCCCACGGGCCCACACGGCTGGGCACCGTCGGGAATCCACACTTGAGCAAAAGTCACTTGTCATTGGGGCTGAAGTGCAAGTCCCCGCTCCCCCCGCCTGCCCTCAGGCAGTGACTCCCGTTTCTTGGCCAATGGAAACAACCAATGTCAAAAAACTTCCTCCTGAATGTGGGGGGAGGAGTGACTGGATATTCCCCTTCCCACTTCCTCCTCCCAGGCCCCGGTGGAGAAATACCTCCCATGCCTGCCCGCCCCCACGGACTACCTGGCCCGGCCCGGCCCTCTCACTCCCAAAGGCTGCAGGGAAAGCTGCCTCCCCACCCGGGAGCCTGAGCAAGGCTGGGCCCTCTGTGGGCTGGACATTCCCCTGGGGACAGAGCGAAACCACTCAGCTGCCTAAGGAAGCCCAAACTCACCGCCAAGGCCATGAAAACGGGGTGCCAGGAGAAAAGACCTAAGGACCAAAGAGAACAGACTGACGCGGGCACCATTGTTTCTGCCCCCGAGGCTGGCCGGAGCCCAGGGCACCTGCCTCCGGGGACAGGTCAGGGTGCTATCCGGCCCTGACCGGGATCAGGGCACAGTGGAGCAGCCAAGGTGAGAGTGAGCCACCACGAGGCTGAACCCACACCGGTTCCCCTGGCTTCCCACTGGGCACCTCGCAACTGTCCGCCCAGTGCCCCCCAGACTGGACCCTCCACGAAGGCTCTGCTTATGAGGAACCAGGGAGCTCGCTGCCACCGTTTGCATCTCCTCCCCAGCACCCAGGGCTCTGCCCCACCGGCCACGACTACCCCTCCCCAGTCCATCCGTCCATAGTGGTCCCCACTCGGAGGCTCCCTCCCACAGGCAGCCCCTCCAGCATCTCGGCCCCGCCCCCTACAGGCCCCGCCCCGCACTCACTGGCTCCAGGCCCCGCCCCCTCCCGGCCCCGCCCCGCCCCGCCCGCCCGCACTCACTGGTTCCCGGCCGGGACAGCACCGTCAGGAAGATGGTGAAGCCCAAAGCCAGCAGGTGCGCCAAGACCCCGCTGCCTCTGCGCAGCCAGCGGGTCAGTCTCGGATCCCTCGCTGGAGCGGGAACCAAACCCAACTCCAGGCTCTGCATGGCCGGATCGGACCGGCGCGCAACTCCCGGCCGCCCGAGCGCGTCTTCCGGGTTTGCGAGCTCCGGGCGCCGCGGCCGCGGGAGGCTCCGCCCCGGACGCCCGGCGGGCGGTGCGGCGGGCGCGCCCACAGCGCCCTCTGGGGGCCGGGGGGAAAGCGAGCCGCACAGAGGAGCCCGAGGGCGCAGGGCACTGGACAGCTCCTCGGCGCGCCGGGGGTCTAAGCCAGCCTCACGGGACCTTTGTCTGCGAGGGCTGGTGTCTCCGGTAGCGGCGGGAATTTCACCCAAACCCCAAGTCACAGGTTGGCTACACTGAACCACGAGCCTGGAGCCAGTCAATACTGGAACTCCCTGGCTGCCCACCTTCTCCTCCATCCATCCTTCTGTCACGATAAGCCTTAACGGTTAGGGGAATAAGATCCCTGCCTGCCTGCCTGACGGCGGCGGAGGAGAGGAAAAGGAAAGGACGAGGGGAACACGGTGCCCTGCACCCAAGTGAGCTCAGGCGTGAGGGCCGACAGCCGGTGATACTTGATCTGCACAATCGCTGTCCCCAGCGAGGCGAGTGGAAGAACTAGGGCACCCGCAGCGCCAGCCGCCTCCACACCATCTGCTCGGCCCCGGGGAGCCAGGCGATCCTAAGGGACCGGGCCTCCCACACCATGGGAGTCCTGTGATCACACCACTTCCCTGCCTGCCTCCCAGAAAGGTGCGGTTCGGCTCCAGGAGGCGTCCCTGGGAGAGCTGTCCCCTTTCCTTAAGGGCAAACCCGATGGCCAGGGCAAGGCCCAGACAGACAGGGACGTTCTGAGAAGTTACCAACGCGATCTGAGCTCCCGCAGTGAAGAGGGGCTGCTGGTCAGAGGCGGGCACAGCTGAAGGAAGGAAGCGGTAATTCGGAGGCGCCATGGAGGCCCAGGCTTGCAGAAAGACCACGAAAGGGCCACAGGCCGACCCCACAGACCCTCAGGGCAGTGACCGAGAGCAGAACCAGAGGTGTGGCTCCCTTCCCACCAGGACTGGTGGCAGCTCTGGGGTCAGGGTTCAGGGTTCTGCTGGCTCAGAGCCATGCCTCATCCCCCAGCCTGGAAAGCAGACTCCCCAGGGACGCACCCCCCGGCCATTTCCACACTGTCCCCAGGGACAGAGAGAGGGAAGCTGTTTGTCACCTCAGCCTCCTGGGGGAGAGCCGGGGACAGGAAGGACACTCGTTTTTGTTATACATTTCCCCCTCTCTTTTCTGGGTTTCTGTTTTTATATTTTTCTTAGCAGCAACAGAACAGGGAGACAGTCTTGAGGTATTTTAAAGAGGTTTTTTTTTTTTTTCCTTTTCTTAAAAAAAATAATATAAAGTTATAAAAAGCGGCAGCAGCCGGGGGCCCGGATCTGGAGGGGAGGAGGTGCTGGCGGCTCCGTCGCGGTGGCAGGCACTTTCTCGTTAATGGGCTTTTGACTGCAGGGAGACAAGAGGCGAGAGACAGGGTCAGGCTGGGGGCCTCCAGCCCTCCCGCTCGGCCGCCTGCGGGGAGCACAGAGCTGAGGCTTCGCTTCCTCCCTCCGGCCCGGTGGGCAAAGCTGGGCCCTGAGGAGGCCGAGAGCCAGCCACACACACACACACACACACACACACACACACACACACACGGGTACCAGAGGTGTTGGCATGCATCTGGCCCGTGCCTGAACTACGAGGCCACCCTCTTCCCATTCCAGTAACTCCCTGCTGGCTGAGAACCTATGGACAGTTCCATGCAACGCCAGGGCTCCATCCACAGAGGAGGAGGGAAAAAATAAGAGAGCTGGCTGCTGGCTTCCCCAGGAACCCCGAACACTTGCCTGGCACCCGAAAACCTAGAAGTGGGTATGTGTGCAAGTGGGCACCCGTGCTCTCTGCCCCTCCGTGCTGATGCCCAGAGGCGAAAGCCGTGAGCGAGATGGGCCCAGCACCCACTGTGCAGCGTGGAGGCCACAGTTCAGGGCCCAAGCTCAACCCCGCGCCCAAACCTCTCTCAGAGCTCCTGGAGACTAACGTCCTTTCCTTCGGGGGCAGAGGGAGCTCCAGTGCTCAAGGCCACAGCCAGCTCCGAGGGGGAACCTCTGAGCACAGCCAAAGTGGGGGAGGGACGGGGAGGCGGAGGCAGCAGCTCCTCGGCCTCGGGGACGGGGCTGAGACAGGGAGAGGCTCCTGAAGGGAAAGCCGGGGTCACCTAGCAGTGAGCTGACCCCCCCTGTCGCCGACGATGGCCTCCTTTCCTCCCTCCCTGCACGCTCACTGGCTCAGCCCCGGTCCGGGCCGGCTCCCGCTGCGCTCTCCACCCTCCCCCGCGCTGCCCCGAGCTGCCCGCGCCCCGCGGGGAGCCGGGCGGGCACCTTCAGTGCGGAGACCTTCTCCTCGAAGGCCAGGGCCGGCCCCGGCTTCTCGCGGCGCCCGGGGCAGGCCGCGTCGGCGGGGGCGCCCGCCGGGCAGTGCTTGGCCTTCACCGGCCGGCAGTACGTGGCCAGGTTTTTCCGCTTCTTGGCCGCCTCCTCCTCGGAGAGGCAGCCGCCCGGCAGGGCCTTGGCTGGGTGTCCGGCCGGGCCCTGGCTGTCCGGCGGGGGAGGCTGAGGAGGGGAGCCCCGACAGTCCAGGGGCCCCGCCCGCTTCACTCTCGGCCCCACCGTCCCGTTGAGCCCCGCGCCCAGCGCGGTCTTGGCCTTGGCCGAGAGGCCCCGGCAGCCGGCGGGCTTGCCCTTGCCCGCGGCCTCCAGGGTGCAGGTCCGTTTGAAAGTCGTGGGGCCGGGGGACAGCTTCCGCTTCCGGGAGGGCGCCTCCGCGTCGGCCCCGTCCTTGCCTTTGGACGACTTGCTGGCCTTGGTCGGCGGGAGCTTGCTGAAGGACGGCGAGGGCGTGTTGGCAGGCAGCGGCGAGGTGATGGCCTGGCTGCCGCCCGTGCACTCCGCCTGGCTGCAGGCGGCTGCCACGCTGGGGGAGCCGGCAGGGTAGCTGGGGACCAGGCTGTCCTTGGTGAGGGGCGTGGAAGCCGGGCAAGCAGGTCTGGGGGGCGGGCCTGGAAGGTGGGGGCAGCTGCCCATCGAGGCGGGGCTCGGGGGAGCCGGGAGGGGGGCGCTGGCCAGGTGGGATGGAGGCTCGGCTGCTGGCGGGATCTTCCTGCAGCAGAAAGAGAACGAGCACCACAGTCATGTCCAGCAAACCAGAGGGCCTCTCCCCCAGCACACACCAGCCTCTGCCCCGCCCGCCGGGGCCTGATGAGCTGCACCGAGAAACGGCCCAGAGCCCCAGCAGTGCTGCCATCTGCTGGCAGACGCTGGAACTGAGGGTTAGGGAGAAGGCACAGGGATAGACAGCAGGAATGAGCTGGGATAGAGACCCATTAAGAACATCCTTTTCCATGTTTGAGCGTCCCCTAATCCAAGTTTCCCAAAAGGTGCTAGAAGTATGGCTAAGAGTGCGTCATTCCCAGACCACCATTCCCGCCCTGTGTCAGTCCGGCTCCTGGCTGCCAAGTGCCCCCACCCCTTCCCTGCAGCCGGGTCTTCCTGGCCAGCGGCCAAGCCACATCTATGTGAAGCGCCGGGGCTTCAGAGGCCCACGCAGGCTGGGGCCTGGGAGGAGGCTGGGGCCGGGAAACTCACTTCCACATGTGTGAGCTGAGGTGCCGCTCCAGCATGGAGCTCAGCGCCGAGCAGAACCGGTCCAGCCTGCGGCTGAACACGTAGCAGCCCGGACTCACCAGCCGGCTCCCGAAGGTGCAGAACTGGAGACGGAGGGAAGGCACGGATCAGTGGGCCTGAGCTGCAGGGGGCGGGCACCTACCTGCACACACCATCTGACCCCCCTGCACACGTGGGCAGGGAGGGCTGGGCCGCCCCCGCCCGGGCCCCGCCCCGGGTCCTTACCGCCTGTGGCCTGGGGGGCCGGGTTGCATAATGGCAGTCAGGGGGGAGGTGGAGGTCATCGGATGGCCCCTCCTCCTCACTTTCCTCGCTGGAGGCCTGGGCCCCACCCCGGGGCAGGGGGAAGGGGAACAGGCCTGGGTCCCCATCACCACCACAGGGGCCTTCATCGTCCACCTCACTCTCAGAGGAGGCCCGGGACCTGGAAGGGCCAAAGGGGATGTGAGGGCGACGGGCCGGCCGGCCGTGGGTCAGGGTGGGGGCATCCCTGAGCCCGCCCAGCTCCACAAGCCAGGGCGGACGCCCTGCGGAGCCGCCAAAGAGGAAGGGAGGAGAGGAAGGGAGGGAACGACAGCTCACAGGGCGAGAGGCAGAGATCAGGGGCTGCGGCTCCCGGCTCCCGGCTCCCGGGGGGATTCTCTCCCCAGCCCTTCACTTCCCAGGCCCTGCCTCCTTGGGGGAAATCTGCTCCAGATTCGCCTCCTCCAGAAAATCTTCTGAGCTTAACTGCACCCAGCTCGGGTCCGCCCCGTCCATTCTCTCAACCCCCTTCTCGCATCACACATTCCTGTGAGCCTGTCTGGGAGCTGAGCCTGCGTCTCTCGTGTCTGCCCGTGTTACAGGCAGAGAGGCGTGTGTGTCTCCTTCCGCAAGGCGGGCTCTCCCCAGGGTCCGGCGCAGCCTCTGCACACGAAGGGGCCAGCGAATGAATACACAGTAGGACCGCCTCGCCCAGGGCCCTGACCCTTTCAGCTCCCGGACCCTGCCGGCTCCCCCGTTCCGAGTGCTGGCCCGTCGGAAGCAGCTGGGACACCGTTTTCATCCTGGGTGTTGGAACTGGCACGCCGGAGGCAGGGGCACCGGGGGAGGCTTGTGAGAAACGGGGAGTCTCCTACTTCCACACCCCCCAGGGATCCCTCCCCAACTCTCGGGGCGTGACGAGCTGCACCTGTCTCCAGGGGTCCCTGGTGGCTCAGGGCCGCGTGTCCCCGGGGGAGGTGCGGCGAGCTCCCGGACGTACCTGGGCAGCGCACAGTAGGGATAGGTCTGCTTGGCACGCGCAGGGAAGGCGCTGCCGGGAGCAACCGCTGCTGCTGCTGCTGCTG